TAATAATAATAATGATGATAATAATAATAATAATAATAATAATAATAATAATAATAATAATAATAATAATAATAATAATAATATGACCTAACATTGTGTCCGTTGAATCTACAAAATATACAAAAGTTTTATTTTTTCAGTGAATCACTCTTATTTTAGCTAAAAACATATGTACAGAGCATGAAGCCACCGTCAGCGTTAAACAGGCCTCAGCAGAGGGACTGGGTGGGAATAGTACATGTGGTGGGGGAACGCCAGCAGCGACTGGCTGCCCGGTGAGTTTGTAGCGGGGCCCCCGCTGCTTTCCGAGGCTCCGTTTTCGTGGTAAAGTATTGGAACCCGCACAATCCTCTGCGCCGCCGCATGGCTCAGGTTGGCCGCCTCCAGCTCCGCGGCCAGCTGCCTTTTCCACTTATTCCTCCGGTTCTGAAACCAGATTTTCACCTGCGTCTCGGTCAGGTGCAGGGACGCGGCCAGGCCTGCCCTCTCCGAGCTGCTCAGGTAGCGCTTGATGTCGAAAGTGGATTCCAGCTGGAAGACCTGACTCCTGGAAAACACTGTGCGCGTCTTCTTCTTCCGACAGGGCTTCTTGTCGGAGTCCAGCTCGTCCGTTTTCCTTCTCCACTCGTCCTCTTGGTCTATTTCTTTCTTTGGCTCTTCCGCGTCACTCTCATCCAGCGCGATGTCGTCGTCGGCGCTCTCCTCTTTGGCATCTTGGTCACTTTTTTGGAGATCCGGGGAGCGCCTGTCCGGTGCCGGTGAAGCTTCCCTCGCGTTGACCTTCTCAGAGCCTGCAGAAAAAAAAGAAGCATTTTTACGTTGTTAAAATTCAATCCCAGGTCACTAAACGATGGAGTCACAACTATGTATTTTAATTCGTTCTAGTTATTCAGTTTATTGATGGACAGTGCGTTTTCTTTTAGGTAAAATTTTGATTTTTAATTTATGGTTACACATTTTTAAAGAGAACTGTAATGATTAGTCTTACTGTCCACTCATAACAAACCAAAAGGCCTTTTTTTTATTTACTGCTGAAGCAGTATCCGTCTTTCAAGAGCAAAACACTGTGATTCTCTTACGTACAATCTTAACAATAATTTACCTCCGGTCCTAAAATGCGTCCCGAGCGTGTAGGGGTACCACCAGCTAGACGCTCGCTCCAAATACTGCGCGGATAGTCCAATTCTCTGACTGGGAAACTCAAGGCGAGGGAAAGACAAGTCACCGAACCGAGAGAAGAAGCTGCCTTCAAAAACGCCTTTGGACGAGCCGAGGATGTTTTTCGGCTTCGTGGGTTTGTCTTCAATATTCAGCAGGTTCTTTATGGAGAACGGTGAGTCTTTTGCGGGTTGGCGAGTCTCTTGCGTATCAGAATCTGCCATCACCGGTTTACTGTCCGATATGGATCACCATCAAAATGTGTCAAGGTGGGGAGAAAAAAAACACCTCAAATAGATTTTCTAGTTTTGTAACCTGTGTTAAAAAAAATAACAAGAGAAAGAGAAAAGAAAAAGTAAAAACACCAGAAAAAGCTCGATTCTGCGTCCAGCTCCTCCTGGGGATGATCAGAGTGAGCGCGCAGGGATCACTGCGTCAAACTTGCGCTGGATTGTAATGATGAAATAAAAGTGCCATCCGAGTTAAAACACGCTCGGTCTCTGCTATTGGGCAGGTACAATAGCAAATGGGATTTGAGATGAAACCGCGAGGGGCTGTGACGAGAATAGACTCCAAAGAAAAAAGGCCGCGCAAGCGTTTTGGCTCCGGGCGCAGCAGTGCGCACCCACTTATCATCCAATTAGATTAAAGAGGAAAATGTCTCGGGGTTTTTGGGGAGGGCGTGCACGAGCCCCAATCACCTGTCAGTAAATTGAATAAATGGTCCAGAGATAATCACACCTAAACGCAGGGCATAAGCACTCTGGCCTTAAAACGAGAATTACGCATACATTTTACGCACGAATGTAAGAAGACTAGAAGCATGTGGACAATGAAAAAACAAAACAAAAAACAGGATATTGGACGTAAAAGGATAATTTCTTAAAGCACAAAACAGGAATATAAAATGATGGAGTATTTATTGATCTGTTCTATTTTTCAGTCTGTTCGGGTTCAACCTGCCGTTCATCTGTTGCGTTTTAAATATTCTTTCTTTCTTCCACCTGTGCTCAACAGGAAAGCAATATCCACCGTGCATTTCACCTGCACCGGAGCTCATTGACTTCAGTGTAATTTTATTAGTCAGGAAGTGCCGCAGGCAAACATCAAATTGAATGCTTACCATCGTGATAAAGTCTTTTCACATCAGCTTTGTACAAAAGCCTGCAAACCCACAGGGGCAGCAGGTGATCTAATGCACCAGGATGACAATGGTCTTGTTTCTGTCACTTGTAACAGTCCTGCTGCTGCTTGGATGAAGCAGATTGCATTTGTGTGCTTTGTGAGACATTTAAATAACCAAGTGTGATCAGATTAGACAATAATTAGAAGATAAAAGCAAAACAAAAAGAACA